ACTCGGGGACATGTGACATGGAGAGAATGTACAAAACACATAGACAGTGACCTCCACTGGGAATTGATTATTTTTCATCAACATTATAACGATATGACACTATTTGAGGACACTATTACAGGATGTTATGTAATCATCTTGACCATCCATCTCTGTAACTCTTTTAACTGTCTAACTGAAACTCTAATCCTGTTACACAGTAACTTCCTATTTTCCCCTGCTCCTAGCTCCTGGCAGCTGTTTTATGTCTCTGATTTTAGCTATTCTTAAGTTTACACACAAAAGAATTGAGAACAGTTTCTCAGAGATACTTGCATACATATGTTCATAGCATTATTCACAATAGGTAAAGTGTGGAAGCGGTCCAGTGTATTTCCTGGCCTTTAAAAGGTGGGAAATTTTGAAACATGCTACCAAATAGAGGAATCTAAAGACTTTTTGCTAAATGAATAAGCTATTTGGATATATTTAAACTTTAATTAATTTCATAGCCTCAAAGATTTTTAAGTTATATTAATGTAAAAGTTGTCACCTTGCCAACAGAGAACATAAGTTATTCATTTTTGTGGGAAGTAAGTTATGGTTTATAAATATTGAAGAACATGCTCACTCTTTGAATTTCTAGAATTAGAATAATAAACTTGAATATTCTAGATGATTTCCTGAGTCTGCTGCTTTTTTTTTTAATAGAGGAAAAGTTTCATTGAATTTTTATACTTGAAACTTAAAAATTAGTTGACTTTAATGCATCATTTGACTTTTATATTTCAGTTATATTATTAAGTTGTGCCTTTTTAAAAAAAATTGAATGGCTTTTTTTTTCTTAAAGAGATACATTAATATTTATCTAATGTTAAATGGATGAAATTTAATTCAGATTAGCATGTTATTTAGGTTAATTCTAATTGTTCCTAATAAAAAACTGAAGTGCTCATGTGATTTAGAATCAAGACTTCATGTAGGTGTTAATTCTGTTACTAATTTCCTTTGTCACTTTGAGAAAGATACAAGTACAAAGATTTTGTTTCAGACATACAGAAAATAGGTTGCCAAGAAGCATCTGATAAAAGGCAACTAGGAGTTTTTTTCTTATATATAAAACTCTGTAAACTATGTTAAAAGAATTTTATTTGACTTGTTTTCATATAAAATGGTATGTAGGTGGTGGTGGTTATTCCTTTTCTTAGTGGAAAATGCCTGGACTCTGGGGTCAATAGCAAGAGATTGAACACCTACCACTGCTCTGTAATCTTGGGCAGATTTTTACAACTGGACACCTGGTTTCTTCAACTGAAAACTGATGATTATAATAAATCATATTTATTTGTGCCATGTGTTATACTACGTATGTTAAGTGTGTTATTTTATTTGCTTCATATAATGACTTTAGGTGGTAATGTTACTCTCATTTAGCAGTTCAGGAACTGGGGGTGGGGTGCAGAAAAATAAGAACCTTGTTCAAGGTCACATAACTTCAAATGTATAAAGGATTGGAGGTTATATTTATAAAACAATGTCAGACTTTATTTAAGTGTTCAATTAAGACATCCCGCATCACTATTGATGTGTGAGGAAAGAAAGGTGCATTCAGATCAGATTTGCTTTTATAAATAATCTAAGCTACAGATTGAATCTGGTTTCAGACTTCTATTTGCAATTCTGATTCTGTAGTTCTAGAGTGAAAATTTTAGGTTGTAAAATAATTTGAATAAAGGCAACACATCTTATAATTTTATTTTATATTCCATAGCTCATAATATACATCAGAGCAAATGGTGTGCATTTAATAAATTCTTAACATTATGAAGTTTTCTTGGAAGTACAGATGTAGATAGATTTATAGTAAAGATGGCCATTTTCTGAAAAGTATTTTATTTCCCTGTAAAGGCTAATTCTTTCATTCTATTAGTCTGTTAAAAAGTTACCATTGGGGCCCTCCCTGGTGGCGCAGCGGGTTAAAGCACAGCACTGAGAATCTAAAGCCGCTTCCGCTTGAGTTGGATTCCCGCCTGCCCCGGAGGAGACCACATGGCGTGGCAGACCTCTCCTGACGCGCCCGCTGCTCCCCTCAGCAGTGTACTTTGTCGATTTGCCTGTTCTGTTCCCCACTCTGTCTCTGGTGAAGCCTCTCACCGCCCCTGAGCCTCTGGCCTGTACCCCAGTTCTGTATGCACAAATAAATAAATCTTAAAAAAAAAAAAAGTTACCATTGATGGATAATTTCAGTACTTTCATTCTAAGAGTCTTTTGTCTTCATACTGGTGGAAGAAAAAAAAAAGAGAGAAAGCTATGGAGAAGGCTGACCTCTCAAGAATTTTGTGGGGGAACTACTAAGGCATGAACATCCATAAGCCATTTTATTCTGCATAGCCATAAAATTCTACATTTTATTTTTTGTGTATTATTTTCAACAAGCTTTACGTCCAATTAGTAAAAGTTTGCAGATTTTTTGTTAGTTTGTTTTTTATACCAGACCAAATTCCATTCTTACAAACTCAGGGTTATTAGGAAATAATAGAACCTAAATTCAGCTGTTAATTCCAGCAAATTTTAACACTGTCTAGTGCACTCGGAAATCAGTTTTATTAGACATATTATTTTATAACAGATCCTATGATGTATGCATCTTGTTCTTAAAAAAAAAATAACATGTGTATTTCTATTCTGGTAATAACAGTTGATCAATCAATGATGCTGAGATACTGATAAATCTTTCTTCATTAGATCATAATTCTGTGATATTTGTACCAAATGGCTTTCCTTAGAAACTTAAAATTTCTGTGTTTCATCACAGGAAAGATTACTGGTAACATGTTTGCTTACAAGTAGCAGTTGAAAAGTGGTAATGTTACAGGGCACCCCAATGTGAATTGGGTTGACCTGTATCTGTTACAGTAAGAGGAGACTATCAAATGGACTCAGATATTTTTTGTCATTATTTCCTGTGCTTGAAGGAGATTTTTGTCATTCGTTTGCTCTTTAGAACTATGATGCTGTGATCTACAGTGGATCTTTGTCTTTTTGCCCACTGATATATCCAAAAGTCAAGAATAGTGCTTGACCTATAGTAGATCTCAAATATTCCTCGAATGAGAGATAAAAGCATCTCTTGTTCTGTTCTGCATATCTTTAGTATACATCTTACTAATACAACTGTTATCCACTAATTTGCCTCTTCTACTGGATTAACTTCCTCAGTACGACTGTAGGAAACATAAATGAAACCGGGTTGGGAACCTTAAATTATCATTGTTTTTTTTTTTTTAAAGAAATGTAAATCATTTCTTTATAACTTTAGATATGACTTGTTGCTCTAAGTAAATGACTAGTTTAGTTAAGCCCAATTATTTTTGCAAAGTATTTCAGAACAGAGAAATGTTCAAAAAAGTCACTTTTTTTGGTGGTTATCAGCTTGAAGTTTATAAGGCTGTAAAATAAAATATCTTGTTTCATCTATTTTCCTTACTCTCTTATATGAACAGTTAGAATTATTTCTAAAGTTATTAAAAGGAATAGGTGTAGTCTACATTCCTGATAGCTTGTTTACACTAGGTTGTAAAGTTAAAACTATTCTTTTCTATTGTCTTTCTGAAGAATTGGTTAATTTATTTTAGATAGCATTGTTTAGTTCTCAGATTTTTAATGTAATTATGCACCTTCCTCAGTGTACTATTCTCCATCTGTTTTGGAGGAGGAGGTGTTAACAGACTATATTTTATTTTTTAAGATTTATTTATTTATGTATAGGCCAGAAGTGCAGGGGAGGTGAGAGGATTCACCAGAGACAGAGTGGGGAGCAGAATAGCTAGACTTATGAAGTACACTGTTGAGGGGAGCAGCAGGCAGGACAGGAGAGGTCTTCTGTGCCATGTGGGTCACCTCCCTGGCCGGGGATTGAATTCATGCTTAAGCAGCAGTAGCTAGCTTTGTACTGCTGTATTTTAACACATTGCGCCACCAGAGAGCACCAGAAGACTATTTTTTAAATTTACTTGTTGGGGAAAATATTTCCATGAAATTGGTGTTCTTTCTGCAAAATTTCATGTATTTCAAAGATACAATATATGTGTCTCTCCCAAGGTAGTATATAACACCTTAAAAAATGTCAGTATATCCTGAAAAATTATTTTTATAACAGTTCTCCCACAATTCTAATAAAGACCAGCTACTTTAAATATTTAAATAAGTTAATGACTTTATTGAACTCTAAAGTTCTCCAATTGGCAAGAATTTGAGGACCTACAGTTATGACTGACATGCGTGGTTTGATTTCTCATCACTAGCTTGATGAGATTGTGACTTGAGCTATGGAGGATGGTAATGGTGATATTGCAGCATTGTAATTTGTGTATGTGTACACTTACAGTGCTTTCTGCATGTCAAGCATACCCAAGCTCACATAGCTAAACAGACCCAGACATTCTTATCACCACTGTGCCGTGATGATAGGATTGCTTCCCTCTTTATTTTTCCAAAAATCTTTTATCCTAAACATATTAAAAGTAAAAAAAGGAGAGAGAGAGCGAGAGAGAACACTTTGCTATTAAGAGAAATATGTCTTCCTCTTTCCTTAGTTTTCATTTGTTCTTTTGTTACATTCCAGTTTTATGAATTCAGTGTCATTTCCAACAATTCACGTAGTATCTTCTAATGTTTTTTGAACTAGGCTACTAAGCAACCAGACTGCTAGTTCAAACAGTGTTATTTGAATTCAGTCACTAAATCTTTTTTTGGGATTTCTTTTATGTGTCTGGGAATTAGTTAACCATTGTCTGCTTGGACTAGCTGACCATTTCTGGGAAAGTTTTCAGCCTTATCTGCAGCTTAAATAGTGTAGGATACAGATGCACTTCACATTTCTGTCTTTCTTTTTTTGAACACACTATCACTGTAATTCAAAATGTGAACTATGATTTCACATAAATTTGTGATTATTGATGAATTAATATAAATAACATTATAATAAGCAAAACTGTTTTTACCTTTTTTTTTTTTTTTAGGATTCTGGCCCCAAACAGTACATACCAAGATGTTGAGACCCTCTATAACTTCCTCGTCAAGTATGAGGTATGAGAAATATTTCAAAATATTTATCATATGTCCATATAAACAAACATGGTAGTAGTTTTCTAAGATGGAATGGAATGCTATTTAATTTAAAGTTTAAAGTTTGCCAGTCAATGTTTTTTTTTCTTTCATTTGCTAAGCAAAAGCATACACTTGATTCCTGTAATAAGCATTTTATCAGGTATAGGATCGTTTCTCATCTGGGTGCCATTGGCTAGGTACTTCTTTATTGTGTGGAGTATCTTGAATATTTAACATTCCTGCCTCCAGTAATGTCTCTGTATATCCCTGTTCCTGCTTCTAGTAATAGTGAGTCATTGTGACAACTGAAATACCCTACCACCCCATCGAAATTACATATCCAAATGACCCTTTGGAGGGGAGAACCTCCTCCAGTTGAGAACCACTGATTACTGAAAAGGAAAGCTGTAATTTAGTTGCCTCTGTAGAAGCAGCTTAGACCCTGTAGTTGTAGTTTGTAAATTAACCTGTATATGCATCTCCTCCTCATTGCTGATCCAAGAAAGTGTTCTTTTGGGCTTCACTTTAGTCTGCCTGAAGTTGTTTTCCTATTCTCCTGTCTAGTTCAGTTGTATGCATGTATGTTTCATTTTTGAAATGCTCCAACTGAAAGAATGTTGTTTATGTTTAGGCTTCACATTTCTTATGGAAACAAAATTCTGTAAATGTGTTTCATTTCATTCCCGGTTAGCCCTTTATTCACTTTTTAATATGCCACTTCGTACAATTAAGAGCCTAGCTAGCCATCATACTTTACAGATCAATGTCAGAAGGTATAGGACTATGTTCTCTAGTTGCAGACCCGGAAGCTATTTGGGTACATCCATATTTGATGGATTTGCAGTGGTTTCGGCATTGTACTCCAGGTCTTAGAGTTATTTAAGAGAAGTGGTAAATAGACTTGGACATGTCCCAATGTGATACCACACTTTAACCATTGTGATAATGACTTAACTTTTGACCTGGTTGGACATGCTTAAGCTCAAAGAGTGAAAAACCACCTTCCTGCCATCAGTGACAGTGCATGTCCAGTGGGTTGTACAGACCTTGAAAGGCTATTAGAATCAAAAACGGAACTTGATTTAATAGTACCAATGAAACTTGGGAATAAGATGCACAGACCTATAGCCATTAGTAAAGAAACTGCTAGAGATGTTTGGCTTATATGGTCAGACAACAGTTTGTCGCTGAAAGAGCAGAAATCCTAACCCTTAGTGGTTTCCACATAGAGTGTGCTCAAAAGACAAAGTAACAGAAAAGTCTTGGCAGAAAGGTGCAGTACATTGATTAAGACCAACCCCCCATCGGTTCTGGGTCTCAGTATTCAGCCCTTTTTAGACATTTGATGACTCACCATGAGTAACTTAAATTCAGTAGACTTTTATTGGTTAGAAAGGTGTTTTAATTCATTTAAAGTTTTATACTTTTATGCATGTAAGGTGGGGGGTGAAAGGATTTACCAGAGACAGAGTGGGGAGCAGAACAGGTGGATTTACTAAAATAACACTATTAAGGGGAGCAGCAGGTAATACAGAAGAGGTCTGCGCCATGTAGGTCAGCTTCCTGGCTGGGGATTGAACTCGTACTGCAGTGGCTGCTAATAGTTTCGTAATGCTGAGACTTAACCCTTGTATCACCAAGGAGACCTAGAGAGGTGTTTTTATAATACTAGTATTATATCAACCTAAATTGAATGAGAAATAAAAATTAATTCAAAGAAGTTTGAATATCCCAATGTTAACTTTCTAATTCCGCCAAAATAATTCCTCTTTGGCATTTATAATCTGATATTACCCCCATTGCCAGTTATAAAAAGCTACTTTCCAGAAGTATACCTGATGTTCTTCTTTTTTAACAACATGAAACTGCAAGAATCAACCATTTTTAGATGCTTGTCATGTTTTTTAGGGACTTTTTTGGAATTAGCTTTTAAATTTTACATTTTATGTCTACCTGTCTTTAAGTATACAGTTAATAATTATCTTAACTGATGATTGTGTGATGCCTGACAGTTTTCAGTTTTTTATATATGTTCTACAATAAAACAAACATTTGGCAAAAAAAAATACATAAGAAGAAACAAAACCTAGTGACTGAAAACACAAGAGTATGAGGTCAACATGCCTGTGTTCAAATGTTGATTCTGCCACTGGTTAACTGTATGAAGAGTTACTTCATTATCCAGTTTCTTCATCTGTACAATTGTAATAACTTAAGTAGATAAATTATAGGTATTCTTGAAAACTAAATAATAAATATATAAAATGTTCTAAATAGTATCAGACACAGAGTAATTGCTTAAGTGTTACCTATGTTAAAGGAAAGAATGGGGTTTATGTGTGCTTTTTTAAAATCAGCTTTATTATTGTATAACTGTGTTGAAATTATTAAAAGCATTTCCTCTTTTAGGTGATTTATTTAATTTTTCATCATACTTTCTGAATTTCAAATTGAGTCATTCCAATAACAAAAATGTGTGGAAACAAGTGAAAAATCACATATTTTGGAAAATTCTGAAACATAAAACCCTCTGTTTTGGGTTTAAGCTTCCTGTTGCTGAGCATAGTTGGAGAAAATATCTAACTTGTAATATAAAATAATGTGAATCTGTTACCTGGATTTTAAAAATAATTTCTCTTATCAGAACTTTCTACATTTTACATGTGACTATATTGGTAGTCTTTATTTTAGTTCATAAATGGTGATATTATTATCTGAAGTTTTTAAGTTCTTTGACTATTTTCATACTTTACCTTTTTCTTTTGTTCTTGCATTTATTTCCTAATTTTCAAAAATCGATATAACAGTTTACTTTTATATCTTTTGTGCCTTTTCCCATTGTTTTTGCATTTTTAAGAGTTTAAAATAACATAGGCTTTTCTATTATTTGTGATTCAACATAAATAATTGACACATTTTGTACATTCTGTGTATATTGTATTCTGACAATAAAGTAAGCTTAAAGAAAAAATTCCTAAGACAAAAGCATTTACCGCACTGAACTGTGTTGATTGGTACTATAAGTTTATCTCCTTTGCTGAAAAAATTTGCTTGTAAGTAGACTTGTGCAGCTTAAGCCTATGGATCAGTTGCATTTTGTGTTCAAATGATAACAGGTGCAAAATCAGTTCTTCAGCTGATTTTTTCTCAACAGTTGATAGAGGACAGATCATTTCATTTTCCTTGGCTCAAACATCTGCAGTGCTGCTCACATTTTCTGGCCTAATTTTGATATCATCCTGGCATGTTGGGGTTGAAAATGTAAAGAAGTGAAAATACAGGCAGAAAATGTAAAGAACTGGGGCTTCCCTGGTAGCTCAGGGGTTAAAGTCTCAGTGCTATCAAACTATCACCAGCCAGTGTGTGTTCTATACTCAGGGAGCTGATGCACATGGCGCAGCGGACCTCTCCTGTCTCACCTTCTGCTCCCTCAGCAGTGTATTTCAGTAGGGCCTATTCTGCCCCTCACTCTGTCTCTGGTGAATCTTCTCATTCCCTACACCTCTAGCCTATACCCCAGTTCTTGTATACATAAGTAAATAAAAATAAATCTTAAAAAAAAAAAAGAAGTAGAACCTGGACTGGTTAATAGTAAAGCTTTAAATGTATATTTTAGAATATTCTTGTAAGATTCTTCTAATAAAAATTACACTCAGCTTATAGTAAGTCATTACCAATTTCTTGTGTATTACATATAGAAATGTGTATATTATTATGCTATAAAGTATAAATATGAAATCCTAGATTTAAGTAAAAATTTAGAATTATATACATTGAAAATGTTATATATTAAAACTATACATTTTTTACCTTCCATGAATGAAAATTTTCATATAAATGAAGTAAATTTCTATTGAAAATACTGAAGCTCTGATATTGGAAGCTCTGCAAATTCATAATACCCTCTAGACTCCATAGATGATTTTTATGATATGAGGATTAAAAATATATATTTTTTAAGATTTATTTATTTATGCATACAGAACTGGGGTATAGGCCAGGGGTGCAGGGGCAGGGAGAGGATTCACCCAAGACAGAGTGGGGGCAGAACAGGCTGACTGACGAAGTACACTGCTGAGAGGACAGCGGGTGGGTCAGGAGAGGTCTGCTGCGCCATGTGGGTCACCTCTGGGGTGGGGATCGAACTCATGATGAAGTGGCTTTAGCTTCTTAGTACTGTGCTTTCACCCATTGTGCCACCAGGGAGGGACCTTAAAAATAGATTTAACTAAATCAGGGTAGAATCTCCCCCACCAAAAGTACATAATGAGTATTACTTTACACATTAAAATATGTATGTATGTGTATATATATAAAGTCTTATTGTTTCTTTACTAATTCAAAGCTTCTGCAAATTTAGATGTTATGCTTTCTATTATATTCTCTAATAAAAAGAACTTTCCTCTACAGATTTCCAGATTCTTCCCGATATATATATAGCAGGTAGCCAAAATCAGTAGTAAGTCTCAAGAAATACAGGTTTCTTTCATAATACTCCTCATGTATAGCATGGTAGTTTTTGTGTAATGATGGACTTTTATACTTATAGCATTGTAAATTATATCTGAAAGATATTTATTAACTTAAACATTCATTTAAGTATTTAGACCTCAATAGCCTAAAAAACACATTTTTTAAAAAATGTTTTTTTTTTTTTAATATTTGAAGAACTGGTGTATAGGCCAGAGTTGCAGGAGGTGAGGGTGTGGGGGAGGATTCATCAGAGACAGTGGGGAATAGAACAGGCAGATTTACTAAAATACACTGCTGAGGGGAGCAGCAGGTTAGACAGGAGAGGCCTACTGCACCATTTGGGTCACCTCTCTGGCTGGGGATTGAACTCAGACAACAGTGGTGACAGCGCTGGGACTTAACCCCTAGACCACCAGGGAGGCCTTGAATAACACATTTCTTTAGGAAATTTCTACAAATCGAACATGTCCCCAAACAATAAATCTTGCCACACAGTTTATAATTGTAATATTTAAATGAAAATTAAAGTTATTTAGTAATAGCTTCCTGAGTACTGAGCCACAGTATTACAATTTTAGAGTTCAATATTAAGTTTTTCCTTCAGCTTGAATTATTTCTTATGTTCAGGATATAAACAAATTATGGCTGTTTCCACTTAAAATAGTTTACCCCCATTAAACTAAATCTACTCCAGACCTTTAACTATCGAATGATTTGACTTTTACTGACAATTTATTTACTGTTCCTAGAAAATGTTGAATATGCACCTTAAAAATCTTTAAAAAATGACAGGCTAATTGAACTATGACTCTGTTAATAAGAGAAGTAGTAATAGAATTAAATACTTCACAGAGTACACTTTTTTCCTTTCCTTTTCATCTACAAACTGGTGATTGGTTTTGTTAAGATTTCTCCTAACCTTAGTCCCATCTCAGCAATGCTGTTTCTATGAATAACATTTTCAGTAGCCCATAGTTAACCCTATGGTCACTGCAGTTCTGATTGTTATGATTTAGTCCTTTCTATGCAGTAATTAGAAACTTGGGGTTCTGCTCCCTCGAATATGGGCCTCTCTGTGCTCTCAACATTCATTTTATTTAATATGCATTTTTAATAGCTACTTTTTTTTTTCAGTTGAATAAAAATGTCAAATTTACTGCCCAGGAACTCTATGATTGTGTTTCACAGGCTGAATATAGGTAAGTCATGTCCACTTACAAATGTATCATGTAACAAGCTTTTACATGTATAGCACTTCGTGGTTATAACAGTAATGTATGTCTTCATTATGCTGTGAGTTTTTTTGACCTTTATTGATATGAAATATTTTGCACATGGAGCAAAACAGTGTTTTTATGTGTGTGTGTATGCATACATGCTTCTGGTATAAGGCTTAAAGTAGTTCTCAAATTTTTTGGCATCTAGACTCATGTATATTAAAAATTATTGGAGACCCCCCCAGGAGCTTTTATTTATGTGGTTCTATATTTACTGTACTAGAAATTAAAATTAATAAATTAAAAAATCTGTATACATTTAAAAATAACATTAACTTACCAAAAATAAGTAATATAATTATGAAACTAATTTTTCCCAAACAAAAAAAAATATTACTGAACAGAGTGGTATTGTACATTTTTTGCAAGTCTCTCAATGTCTGGCTTAATAGAAGACAGCTCTGTTCTCTTAACAGGTTTTTCAGTGAGTTGGTTGTGATAATCACTGGAAAGCTGTACACTCCTGTCAGACTAGAATACAAAGAGCATACCACATTGTGTGAATAGTTTCACCTCTTTGACTTCACACCCCTTTAAATGAGTCACATCCCACCTGTGTCCACCAAACGTGTTTTGAAGAACAGTAGCTGTAACAAATATTCACGTGCCTGCCATACTGACATAACAGACCTTTATGCATCCCTATTTGTATTCTATCCATCCTTCCATTTTTTTCCCTAAGAATTTTTTGTATTTATGATTCTCATCTTTAATTAAAGGCCCTGGGCAAACAAATCCATGAAGAAAATCCTTTCATTGATTCTTTCCAGTCCCTACTTTTACTTCAAAAAAATTTTTTCTAGTTAATTTTTTAAAATTAAAAAAAAATTATTTATGTAAAAAGAACTGGGATGTAGGCCACGAGTGTGTGTGTGTGTGTGTGTGTGTGTGTGTGTGAGAGAGAGAGAGAGGGAGAGAGAGAGGTCCACTCTGCCATGCTCCCTGTTGAGGGATTGAGGGATTGAACTCATGCTGCAGTCGCTCGCAATAGCTTGATAGTGCTGAGATTAACCCCTGTGCCATCAGGGAGGCCCAACCTTAGGTTCTTTTTTCTTATTAAAAAAAAAAATGTATTTTTATTTATTTATGCATACAAGAACTGGGGTTCAGGCCAGAGGCACAGCAGGTGAGAAGATTCAGCAGAGGCACAGTGGGGAATAGAACAGCCTGAGATATACTTCTGGTCAGTGGGCAAGACGGGAGAGGTCTGCTGTGCCATGTGGGTCATCTCCCTGGCCAGGTATCAAACTCATGCTGCAGCGGCTGCCAGTAGATTGATAATGCTGAGACTTTAACTCCTGTACTACCAGAGAGGCCCTTAAGTTTTATTTTTTAACTCAACATTGAAATTCGTCCATGTTGTACATCCTCATAGCCTCTAAGAAGTAAGAGCCCCCTGGACCACCAGCTCTAGAGAGAACACAAGAGGAAGAGAGGTGCCCTCAGTTGCTAGAGTCCTTTCCCCACCCATACAAACATACTGAGAATCTCCTGATCTGTCAACAGTGCCATCCCAGACCTCCTGGAGAAGGGCAGGTACTGCCTTGTCATGTGCCATCAATAAAATGCACTGTACTTTCCACACCCTCCAAAAAAATAAACTATGTCCATGCTGATGTGTGGGCAGTAGTTGGTTTATATTCAGTTCTATTAAAACATGACAGATACAATCCTACATACCACTATTGCACTGTGTAGACTCATGGAATAAAGGTCAAGGACTCATGGGAGAAAAGGTGGTGAAGCACTTTACTCAAAAGCTTAATAAAGACCCCATAAAAAAGAGATAGCAATGTAATCAGAATATCTTATGTTTGTAACTATAAAGATGATTAAGAAATACCATTGCTATAAATATGATACTTTATCTTGAAAACAGAGCTTAATTTTGCCTTGGAAGTGGCCATTTGGAAGGTTATAGCCTGTTTGGGTTAATGTGATGTGATAGAGGAAGGCTGTGGAGTGTCAAATGCAGGTGGACATGGCTCAAACACACAGAAAGAAAGCTGAGGTAGCTGGTATGTGTTTGGTGTGTGTGTGTGTGCGTGCCTGTGTATACCTGCTCATGTGTGGTGTATTCCTGAGTAGCTAGACTCCATTGCATGCCGTTTTCTCTCTTAGCCAGTGTTTCTCATGATTGAGATTATAAACAAAAGAAAAAATGGTACTTACTCCATTTGTTTCTTACTTCATCAGTGGCACTGCTGCACTTTCACGAATGTTGCAGAATTGCCTATTTCCACTGTTATATAATATGCCACCGTATCACCAACTCACAGTTGGTTACTTATAACTTGTAGGTACAGTTCCGTGGCTATAAAATTTTATGAGTAAGCGAAGTAACAGTTAAGTATATAGGTACTTCTGTTAAACTCTAGATTGAGAAAAGCAGGATTTGAGGATTTATAATCATATGTAAATGTTACTGAGTAATACAGTTGTGAAAGTTCACTCATAGACTAAAACATATTTTTCAAGAATATGTGAAGCCCAGTAGACATGCATAATCTGATATAGTAGGGGTGAAATGATTTTTACCCTAATCTTCAGATTATCAATAAATCAGTTGTATCCTTTATAGGTCTTTACAAATAATCCATATTTAAAGGTTTGTATATACTAGATTTGTGTCAAAAACATGTCTTCCAACCTTAGCTCTGTTTCTGAAAGTGTAAAAAACTCACCATAGATAACTTAAAGGGCAGATTTTGTAATTCTAATTAGACCTCTAAAATTATTTTGACTTAAGCTACTTTGGGAATGGTTGGAAGAGTTTTTTGTAGGGAATGAGTGAAACATCAAAGTTGAATGTTCAAAGTTAAACTCTCTGTACCTTTTTTTCCTCTTCATTTTCTTCCCACTTACTTTGTTAGGGATTTAACTCTGATTTTAATAAGCTCTCTCATAACCAGGAGGACAGTTAATACCTTATTCAAATATCTTGAATAAATTGACAATAGTGGTTGCTGAACTGTAGATTTTTTATTTTTTTATGCTTTCTTTAAATTTTTTGTTTTTAACTTTTATATATTTTTGTGTAGGACTAGGGTGTAGATCAGAAATGTGGGGTTGAGAGGATTCACCAGAAACAGAGTAGGGAGCAGAACAGGTAGATCTGAAATACACTGCAGAGGGAAGCAGCAGGCGAAACAGGGGAGGTCTGCTATGCCATGTGGGTCAGCTCCCTGGCTGCGATCAAACTCAGGCTATATGGTGATAACTCAGAGACTTAATCCCTGGATTACCCAGTGGCTAAGAGTGGACCTACTCTGAGATTTTTTATTCTGCTGCTAGTTTTTAAATGGTTTGCCATATTTAGACTGAAAGGTATTTCCTACATTAGTCTCTAGGGTACTCCACACCTCACAGTTTTCAAATATTGCCAAAAAAAAAAAGGGTTTATTTTTAATGTTTCATATGAGACACAGGGCTAGTTGCAACAAACCAAGTGGTAGGGTTTTCCTGTTACCTTAGAGGTGAAAACAGTGATTTAAATTGCATATACCTGACCACCTAGCCAGGTTCAAAAAACAATTTCTTATGTTGTCTGAGTTTTCCAACCTTTGTTTTTTGACCTTTTAAGTGTTAACAGAAGACTGTTGCTATCTCCATTATATAGAACATAATTGACACCATATTGATTGCTGTAGCAATCTGTGTGTGTATATGTGTGTGTGTGTAAAATTAAAAAGCTCAAGAACACAAAACCATTTTGTAGCTTCTGATAAAGCAAGAAAGTAAGATTTTAGGTAGACTACTTTTGATGCAAGTTGAATTCCCATAAGACAGTAAATTTGCGTGGTATTTACATCGGTAATTCATTTTGTAGACTATGAGATAACTTTTCCTCTTGCCAATGAAGTGTGAATCCTGCTTGCCCTGAGCATTTGAGTATTTACTCTGGAGGACAGATTATCAGACAGAATACTAACTAGCTTCTATGGTGTCTTTCATACTTATGAAAGACTTATACTTATTTGTCTTTCATACTTATGACAAATCAGTAATAAGCAGTAGTCTTGAGGATGCGTTGGCCAGTCTCTATAAAGTCATTTATTTTTCCTGTATGACATGCAGACTAGTTTATGACATCACCCTTATAAAGGACCTGAAAGCCTAATTACACGTACCCCAGTTTGGCATTTGTAGCAGCAGCTGCTTTCATTTCTTGTGGCAGAGGCCTTCAGTACCGATCACTCCCCACTCCAGGGATCAGGTCTATGGTAGCATCTTCTAGATTACATTAGAACTGTGCTTCAGGACCTAAGTGTCAGCAGCCCTTGAAGAATTAGAAGAAATGCAGGGCCTTACTTATCCTAGATCTTCTGAATCAAAAATTCTGGGGATAGAGCCCAGCAATACATTTCTACAATCCCACCAGGGCATTTGAAAGTTTGAGACTCTGCTGGACGTGTTGTGTTCGATACTCATTTTCAAACCAGTCTTCCTTTCTCTGTGCCTTCATCTCTGCAGCTCTCCCACCGTGCACCCTCCATCCTGGATTTTTGATCCTTGCCCAGTGCAGTGCCATGACTTAGGAGCTCTGTTGGTGTGCACCCAACTCAGTAGTTCCAGGGCTCAGCACCACAGCACAAACCTCTTACTCAGTACAGCAGGGTTGTATTTCCAAGTTTTTACTTTCAACAAAGTTCAACTAGAGTCTTTCTTATGCCTTTTATTTGGGCTGATTCTCCTGTTGTATAAACTGAAAATTGCTTTTTCCCTCATTCGGGAGTGCTGGCTTGTTTTGCATCATTTTTGTTGTGCATATCTGGAGGTGAGCTCTGTCTTCACTCCACCCATATCTTGTTGGGCTGTACCTCATGAGTTCTTTTTAAGTTTTGTAGTGCTAACAACTTCTGTCTCCTTCCCAATACCTGTTCCTCTCAGGAGGTAAATCCTCTTAGTATTCTTCTTTTAAATCAAACCAGTTAAGATAAAAATAATGTGATCTATAGTGTTTGCTTACCTCTTGATTAAGATACTCTAATATCAGCCTTTCTCTTTCCGGGGAATGTCTTTCAGAGATCAGCAGACTAGTTATAAGACTGTAATTTGGCAGCAGGTTGACCCTTATCCCCGAATTCTAGGACTTGCCCCCAAGGGCTTCTTATGACTATCTGTGCATCCGTGTACTCAAATACTTATTTTCTTGTATTGTTTTGTCTGTGCCAGGAAACCATAGCTGTTGATATTTTCTAAAATATCAAAGAGCGCCTTTCTAATCACACCAGTAAGCCTGTTGTATTAAGATTGTCCCCATTTATCTGACCAGCTGGCTTGTTGTGACTTCACACTTCTTTATCCCCTAGGGAGAAGTTAATCATCGGATGTGGGCAGCTGGTGGAGATGGAATGCACCATGCAGCAGTGCAATGCATCTGTGTACATGGAGGCCAAAAACAGGGGCTGGTGTGAAGACATGCTTGGCAATAGTACTTAAATGCTGACTTGTAACTTACAAGGAATTGCACTTGTCTTCCAGAACAGAGCCAAACCCAAGAGCTGTTTAAGAAATGTCTCATTGGTACTAAAAGGTGATTGCCTATTACTGACAGGCTCTGAAAAGCCTGATGCATCTAAAAATCCTATGCTAAGCTGTGGACTTAACTCATTTTGAGTTGATGATACCTCCCTACCTCTACTTCTGATATTGAGCCAGTATGTCTAAGGCAAGAAGAATCAGCTTTTTAGTCATTTTAGGCCCGGAGTCACTGTAGCATCTAAGGAAAGCCTAAGGCTAAGAATTAGCATTACTTTTCACTCTGATACAGCAGTCACCAGAGATACTTCCAAACCCAAGAGTTAGTAGGTCTCCATGCTCACCAAATTCTATAAATGAAATCTTACCCAGGGCTGATTTATGATCAAACTGTCTTCCCTGTATATGAACATAGAACACCCCCTGTCCCTCACAGCAGTGAAGCTGATCCTGATTTCAACTCCAGCTTGTTACACAGCCACTTTGCTTCCTCCCCGGGGATGTCCTCCTTCTTGCATTTCTAATGGGAAGAGCAGAGAGACCCTTACACTGAGTTTTTCCTTAAATGTGAAGCATTGTGGACTAAGTGGCAGTGACTGATGTTTGCCCCCAGCTAAACCAAGTGTTCAGTTGACTCACTTTTTAGTTATACAGTAAGTTGGAGTCTTTATTTACTAGAGTATATTATGCATTTGTTAATACATTAGCTAAATCCAACTTGGTAGTCTATTATAAATGTTAATTTATTTTTAAAAAGCAATAAATAACTTATTTTTAGTAAGATACTGCTTTTCATTTTACTTCCATTTGTTTCAGAACTGTGTACAAGTTTAATTCTAGAAGTGACCTTCTCCATGAGAGAACTTACTGCTCACTACAGACAACGCTCCCCTCCCCGCCACCCAAGTGTCGTCAGGGATGTGAGCTGGGTAGAAGGAGAAGCTTCCAGAGCATCACTGCTCTCCACCTCCTTTTTTATTTTCTCTTTTCTTCCCTGTGGAGCTAATAAAGCATCTGCTCCCCCAGTCTTTCTCTGTTTCCAATTGGTACATCTGGTTTGGGTACTTTATTACCTCCTCCTTTTATCTTTAATGTGTGTTACACTTTGCAGGAAATTTTATTCCTGTTACCTCCATTCTGTTCATTTCACCCTCATATATGTGGTTTTTAATTTTATTTTAGTTCATCTTTCACCTGGCACATCGTTTCAACCTTTTTTCATTTTGTTAATATTGCTATGTAAGATGCTTTCTACTTTCTAGTCTTAAAATTCATATGAAAAATTTGCTTCAGCCTTTGAAATATTTTCTACAATTTAGTGAAATATTTTTTCCTACTTCTCTTTCCCTTCTTGTTTGCTGCTCTTAAACATTGTTGATTTTATACTTTATATAACAGTTTCCTACAGGTGCTAGGGTTCCCTTTCCTTCCCTCTCTCCCCCCCCCCCGCCCCCCCTTGATTCCAGAGTGAAAGCGACAGGGTTTCTCACCATAAAGCCTGGAGCCGCGCCCACCCGCGACCACCACCACCTATTTTTTCTTTTCTGTTCCCTCCTCTGGATTGGAGCATCTCAAATCACATAAAGATTGCAAGCCCCGCCTTGCAGAATATGCATTTGTTTTGATGACAGAATTACTACATACTCAGAAGGGGAACTTCAGGTTTCAAAATGTCCATTCTTCAAAGTGTATAGCTAGTACATTTTGGGCAGAAGCCATCATGGAGCATGCCATGAACCAGAGGGGCTGGTGGGAAAGCTCATGCCAGGGGTGTGGCTCTCCATGTTCTACTCTTGGCCTTGCCCTTGGGAGGAACTTGATGAGAAGCATCCATGAAGATTATTCCAATGAAGTGTCACAGTGGGGAGCTGCAGGCATTTTCCACTACCCTTTTCTTTTTAGCAAAGACAGTCATTTCCCTCCTCAGAGGATCAAGTAGGATTCTGATTTGGAGCAGCCCCCAGATACCCCAGTTCTGGGCAAAAAAACTGGCTAAAGAATTGGGCTTTCTTGTGCCCCACTGGGTTCTCTTGTTGGACCTACAAAGAGCAATTGATACTGCAAAGACTTGACAGTTGGGTAATTGTCAGCTTCCCTTTTGTGGTCTTTGTCACACATGAAATATAGGAAATAAGACAAACCTGAAGGTCTACTTCCTGGATTTTTTTGACCATCCTCCTAAGGGGAAACAGAAGTCCTTTTCGGGTTGATTCAGGCTTATTTAGATGGTGTCTTGGGCAATCTCTAGAGCCTGGGTTATATCGTTCCTGCTCTTGACAACTCCCCCAGCTCACCCATCTACCAGAGCCCTTTTCAGTAGCCTACCATGAGGAGTTAACCTACCAATTCCTTCTTAGAGGAGCTCTCACTACTGAATGATCAAATGCTCTGTAGTGCTGCCACTCTGATTCAGATACTTGGACTGATAGGCCCAGTCCCCCTCCAAGTTGGTGGCTCTGGGCTATTTGGCCAATGAAACTGCAGTGAAAATAAACTCCATGAGCTTGAGCAGAATTACCAGTTATGAACCTGGTAGGTGAGGTGGTAGACATCCATATCTCAGCTATGATCTTGCTCAGTGTTTCTGGCTACAAAACAGTTTTGACATCCTTTTCGCTCCTAATATTTTGCTTTTGCAGCTTTATTTTATGTAGTCTATTGATTATGGGCTAAACTACATCATTTCAGTATACAACCCTTGCAAAGGCCAGTGGGATCAAAGGTTTCCCTAATGTGACTTCCAAAAGTGACAGAAAATAGGAACATGTCCTTAAAAGTCTTTTTTCCTTTGTGCTTGTTACTTTTTTGATTAAGCTGGAAAGGCAAAACTTGTGTAAATTTTACCCAACATTCCCATTGCACCAGCACAATTAAGATAGTTCCATTGTTGCTCAAAATTTATATGCCCCTCTAACCAACTCCCATCTCCACCTCAAGAAGCCATTGATATGTCTGTAAGTTTCTTTTTCCAGAATGCTGTGGAAATGGAGGCATCTGAGGCTGGCTTCTCAGCATGATGCTTCTGAGATCCACCCATGTTCTATGAGTTCATTCTTTTTTATTCCTCAGTGGTATTACACTGTATACATGGATAAATGCCCAGGAGTGGGATTCCTGCATCAGGATATTTAACTTTCTATGAAACTGCCTGTTTTCCCAAAGTGACCTTACAATTTTGGTCCGTTAGCAATTTACTGAGTTCTAAACCAGGACTTGGTGTTACTTGGTTTTAATCAATGTGGATGTCATTTTACAGCCTGTTCCTAATGATTCATGATAGTAAATGTCTTTTAATGTTCTCGTTGGAATTCATTTGTCTTTTTTGGTGAAGCATCTTGTTGAAACCTTTTGTCCATTTAAAAGTTATCCTGTTGTGTTCTTGAGAGTTCTGTATACAGAACTGCCTTTTTATGGGCAGTTTTAAGCATAAGGTTTTCAAAGTACAGAAGATACATTTGGGAGCAACTTTAATGGATACCTAGCTTTATAAACTATTGTTAAAATTTTATGTAGTAGATGCCAGCATTTAGTATTGCAACCCTTATTTTTAACTTTCTGGATACGACGTTTGAAAATTCTTACTCATGTTTGATATTACACCTATTGTACAGGCTGAAATATTATGGCACCTTTTGCTTTACTCTTAGAAATGGGACATCTTCAGACATGAACTTTTTGGGTCATTTATTTTCACAGGTTGTTAATTCTATACTCAGCTTAATAACTGAGATTTTGCTTCTTTCTTTTATTCAGTCCTTCCTTAACAAAGTTCATAATTGTTAATAGCGAACCTTCAATATTTTGTTGGCCATTATGTTAGTAGGTTGAATTCACATGAGTACTTGTACTTCTGCTCCCCTTACAGATTTAACTTTTGCTGCTCAGTGTTATTTTTAAAGACTGAAGGGACTTCTGGGCTTTATTAAGAAGGAAATCAATGCTTCACAATAATTCCTTTTTTAAATACAGGCAATTTAATGTATTAGCTGGTACTGTCTACTTAATTTTCTGTGACTTGCACTCTACTGAAGGAATGGTCCACTTAAGAGGTTTTTTGCTTCTTTTCCTACTTCAAGAAATTAAGAATTCTGAGGTCTGGAGAAGTTAGATAGTGTATACCCACAGTGTATTAGTAGCAAAGATTTTAGCTACTAATTCTAATAATTTTAGAATGATTTTAGCATAACATCACATTCCTAAATTCAGAGGTACTGCCCTCCAAGAATGATTTTTAAGGAATTCTAAACACATTAAGTAATGCAAGAGACCAAGAATCAAAACCCCACCTTGAAGTCAAAAGAAAATTCATGCCTGAATATAACCAACTGTTTTATTAACAAGTTTGTTTTGCTCCTTTTCTAGGACTCCGGTATGTTCTATGTCTTAAAACTATAGCGAGTGGCTGTTGCCAAACTTAGTGCCAAACTATTCCCAAGCCCATACTGGTTTAAATAAAAAGGTTTTGGTACCTTTTAGATGTTGGTAAGTGGTCACTGAGCAGTCTGTTTCCTTTATGGAAACTACTTATATTAAAAACCCACTTTAAAAACATTACTGGCCACCAAAAGACCTTTTTGGCAACAATTGTAATAAAGAAAACTTTGACTACAGGTAGCCCTATCACATTACTTACATTAAGCAAGTCACTTTGGAATGAAGATTGATTTCAAGGATCCCCAACTAAATTTTATTTTCTTTCACCAAATGGCACACATTATAGAAGCACTTTAAAAAGTCCAGTTAGGCCCTCCCTGGTGGCGCAGCGGGTTAAAGCACAGCACTAAGAAACTAAAGCCACTAACGCATGAGTTGGATCCCCGCCTGCTCCAGAGGTGACCACATGGCGTGGCAGACCTCTCTTGACCCGCCTGCTGCTCCCCTCAGCAGTGTACTTCGTTGATTTGCATGTTCTGTTCCCCACTCTGTCTCTGGTGAAGCCTCTCGCTGCCCCTGAGCTTCTGGCCTGCACCAGTTCTGTATGCACAAATAAATCTTAAAAAAAAAAAAAAAAAAAAGTCCAGCTAGGCAAATTATAGTTCAAAACCAAACTGCAGTAGATAGTCAGGAACTACATAGCCATATTTTCGTGGTGGTTCTTTGTAAATAAAAGTTCAAGTACCAGCAGAATAACTGGGTCAGGAAGGTGGGTTTTTTCGTAAGTCAGCTACTGGTGAGCCACACCGCCCCACTAAGATTCCAGTGTGCTTTTCTCTGTCACGTGAGAGGAAAGATCTTTTATCAGCCCTTATTTCAGATGTAAGAAGCCAGGTGAGTTTCTAAAGAGCACTAAGAAGCTAAAGCCACTTTAGCATGTGTTCTATCCCCGCCCTGGCAGGTGACCCACATGGCGCCGCAGACCTCTCCTGACTCGCCCGCTGCTCCCCTCAGCAGTGTACTTCATCAGTCTGCCTGTTCTGCTCTCCACTCTGTCTCTGGTGAACCCTCTCACTGCTCCTGCACCTCTGGCCTGTACTTCAGTTCTGTATGCATAAATTACTAAATCTTTTTTTAAGATTCTTAGTGCAGTGCTTTAACCCGCTGTGCCACCATGGAGGACCCAATTAATAAATCTCTTTAAAAAAATTTTTTCTCCAAAACTTTCAGTAACCAATAGGTACACATATTACACTGGATGTTAATGCTATGGTACAAAGACTTCCTGTAAAGTACCTTTAACATGTTTGCATCTCTATTAAGGTGGATTAATTTTGGCACCATAAGTTTTAAGTGCAGCCTCTCTCACCCTTATTTATCCACAGGAATAGAAA